GGCAAAGCCTGCAAAGGGCGTTTGTGCTCAGCATTGCCATTGCTGCATCTTGGGATTCATAGTGGTGCCTGGGCTCAGATGTGCGCACACTGCATTGAGAGCCTGTCTCCAGGAATGGGTCTGTAGTTGTGAATCCTGAATGCAGAAAGGTCGCCAGGGTAGAGGGCAGGGCCTCTTGCCAGCCAGAAGTTAAGCACCTAGGTCTCGCCGAGCAGTGGTGCTTTGATTGCACCTCTCCCTCTTTACCTTTTCTTAGTGGCTAGTCACCTTGCATCAGGAGAGCAACATGCCTACAAGTCTGATCTGCAAAAGCCAACACGCTGAAGGGCAAGCCACCAAAATTAGCCAACAAGAGGGGCCTGGGGAGGTTTAAATTCCACTAGTCTTCAGGACATAGGTGCATCATTCCTGGCAAGAGGAAGATATCCTTCTCCACTCACAGTTCACAACTGTGAATGCCTTTCCTCCAGACAGGCACTGAGAATAAATTGGCCCTTTTCCCATACAAAATGCAGAAAGGAGAAATTGTCCCTCTTGTTACTTGGAAGTCCAGCAGCCAGAGTACGTATCTGGGACCTGAGGGAGCCTGTTTAAATACATCCGTGTTGTTCTGCTACAACGTTGATGCTATATGAAACAGGTCTGTGTCACAGTTTCTGGGCATGTCTGTACCAGGTCAAATCATGCTAGGCAACAGCGCTATGAAAATACACCCCACCCACTTGCTCCCCTTCTGTGTGATCCAAATGTTGAAAACATGTAATGTAGCCATGTCCTGCTCCAGGTGCTCCCAGTGCTAGTGTCAGTCTCAAGAACGCTTATTTGAGCAGCACTGTATGTACTCAGCAATGCTGTAATGGCAGCAACAGTCATTTTTCCAGCATTTGGTGCACATGGAGTGGGAGGGAGTGGGCCGAGTGTTTTTGTTCATGGCAGTGCTTCCTAGCACAGTTGAAGGGTGTATAGATGTGCCCTTTGGCTCCAAGTGATGCTTCTTGAACAGTGCTTGGTACCAAGGGTAAATTATACTAAAAGCAATGCCTTACAAGTGGACCAAAGGAACGTTAAAATCTCTCCAGAGTTGAAACCCTCTGGGAATGTGGAGGGCAAAGAAGATGGTTTAATCAGTGCCCCATTCTGTATCTTCAAGCAATAGGGATCATCACACAGATCTTTTTTCTGAGGAGAGGGGTTGTTACAGTCCTTTAACTCAGGCAGAACATATGGCTAATGGGCAGATCCAGAGGGGATGCAACACCTATTCTATACCTTGGGTCCATGGGCCATGGGCCTAATCCAACACGTGGTGCTGGTCTGGGGTACAGGGTGGCTGGGACCCAAACCAGTGAATGAGGCCAACCTAGCCAGCACCTGATCCAGCAGGTGCATAGCAATGGCCCAGTGCATAGTCCTGGCTCCATGAACCAAAAAGAGGTCCTGGCACCATGCATCACATTGGGCACTGGCTCTGGGCTCATGCTCCAGATCAGACCTATGGTTCCAACTCCACAACCAGGACCACATTATTTGGCCCTCAGCCCTCCTTGGAAATTTGGTAGTAATGGGAACATTATTTGTTACCACTCCCCTGCTGCCAAATTTCTAGATCTGTGGGGACACATCCAAGCTGGATGACCTGGCTCCATGGGCCAGATCTGGCCCACAGGCAGGAGGATGATAACACCTGAATAAATGCTTGCTGGAATATTCAACTAGTGCTTTTTGGATTTGAAACGTCATGAACAAGCCTGGGTTATTTTTTTGCATGTGACCTAGAAAGTGCTCCGGAGGACACACAGTTAAAACGGATCAACTTGTAAGAGAGCATGCGGGCCAAGGCATCTTACCAGGAACTAAGTCTGGTTCAGTTTTATGACAAGCATGTTGTGTGTGTTGTGCACCCCTGCCCATTGGTGGCAATATTCCCCATTGTGTTTATCTTCTGTTGCTCTTTCCAATTATACTAGAAAAGCCTTAAATTAGGCATTTTGTTAGTACAGTTAAGGTGACTGCTCCATTCCCTGATCTCAACTCAATGGGACTAACCCCTGCGGTACCCAAAACAATTCTTCCCTGAAACCAACCCTGCAATATGTAAACGTGGATGATGCATGGCTTCTTGATTCAGAAATATGTATGTGAGAGCCTTCTCTACCGTGAATATAAACAAGGCTAAGTTAAGATTTAGGCTGGCAGGCAATCATCTTCATGTGGTTCTCCATATTGCTATGTCAAGCATCGAACCAAGATTGCAGCACATGGTATCTGAGAAAAATCAGAGGCACAAATCTCACTCTAAAAACTGAAGTATGAGACTTTTGCACTTTTTTTCCAACATAATGTATTTTAATGTCATTTCTATCATTTTTATGTGATATCATTTTTAAAGACTTGGCAAGCTAATTACAGCTGTTGAACTTAAGGCTTCATTTGTTATTATCTGATAAATCTAGAAATCCAGGTAATAGTAACAGAAAAAATAAAGTTAAAAAATTATTTTATTCTGTGTTTTCTGTTTTTACCTTAATTAAAGTGTAATGTTTTTTAAATAGTGCCAGAATGTGGCCCACCGCCCAGGACTGCCCCTTTGAAATGGTCCTTTAAGAGCAAAACTTTGGAAACCCCTGTGACAGGGAGAATTAATAGAATTGGTATCTCTGTTTTGAAGGAGACTTTCTGAATTGCCCAGTGAATGATACAGGAGACTGTGGGAGAGAACAGAAGACAGAATGATCTGTAGACAGAAGGAAGAGCAGATGGGGGAAAACCTGAGTTTCACACCAACGCTAGGAAGAGGCAGATCTGCATGAATGGAGAGTTCTTGCTTAGAAGAACTGATAGGCCTGTCAACAGGACCGAGCTACCGAACAGAAGGGTTTGTTGTCTGTCAGGAGCAAAGGTTGGAGATTTGGACTGAGACTGAAAATAATTCAGATGGAAGCAGGTTAAAATGTACTGACTGTTGTTCACGTCAGGCCAGGTTTCCACTGTGATAGGTTGAGAATGACTATGCAGAGCTGGGGAAGATGCTCAGAAAAGCAGACATTTAGGTGATCTTCAGTGCAGTAAGTCTGATTTCTAAAGGAGGATGGCAAAGTTAGGAACAACAATAACAATTCTATATCAGCAAATGACTCAAGGATTGCAACCATTGGGAGAGTTTTTGTGATTTTGACCACTGTGAGACAATCCCAAAAGGAGGATTCTTGTTGGTGGATAATTACATGGGTACCAATCTTTTGGGATCAAGGCTGATAATTGTGCATAAATAGAGTTTAAAACCAAGTGATGTTTTAATATATCAAAAGGGCGAAATCAGGTGATTGAGGAGTAGTAGGCACAGTGGAGTGCCAGAGGGTAGGCTTGTGTGTCTTATGGGAAAGGCAGTTACCATATTGGTGGGAACAGCAGTGGGGAGATGATGCAGTTAACAAAAGGCTTACACCCAGTAGAGCTAAAACTTTTTGTGAAACCACATTTGGGTGGGGGTCACATTCCACTTAACACTTACTAAGTACAGTTAAACATAAGCAGATGTATGTTCAAGTAGTGATACCACCCTAGCACCTACTAACTTTACTAGATCACAATATTCCAATGATTTCCAACTGTTGCAAGTGAACATATGACAGGGCCCTTTTCTAAATTAACTCAAGGAGACTGAGCAACAAAATGGTGGAAGTAGAACTACTGGTGCAGGATATAAAACCATCAAGCACAGCAGTAACAGAGATATGGTGAAATAGTTATCATGATGTAATAGAGACAGTGAAGCGCATATGCTACTTGGAAAAAGTAAAATAAAGGTAATAGTGGATGGTAAGGTAACAGCAGGATAATGCTATAGACTGAAAAGTAATAGGAAGTGATCAGATGGATACAATGGAATTGCTCTGAATCAAAATCTTTGGGGAGGCATTGTAGAAGACGTTTTCTTTGGTGAGGTGGGGCAAGGAGAAAGGATGGAAGGGGTCGGCTCTAGACTCAGGGTGAGATTCAGATGTGGACAAAGATTTCTGTAATGTAAGAGTGGTAAATCCTGCCATAAATTGTGGAATTACAGAAAATTTTAGCTTCCTAAATATTGACTAGAGAACAAATAGTGACAATACTAGTAGAACCTAAGTCGTCCTGGGTGTGATAGCTGGGAAATTTCCTTGGCAACAAAAGTTGATGCTATTTCAGACTTAAGGCCAGATCCTATTTCACCTGTGGGTCTATTCCTACCTGGTCAGGTAACTGAAAAACAGTTAATGTAAAAGATGGGTCCTTCTCCTACCTGTTGCTTTTTCAACTTTTTTTTGATCAGCAAAAAAAAAAAAAAGCTACATCTTAGAGTTCAGAAAGTTCAGGGGTTAAGTGGGAATTGCCAGAGATCAGCTTGTGTTAGACTGCAAAGGAGATTTAAACATGGTAAGAGTTTCCTTCAGCCACAGAGAGAAAGAGAATAAAAACGTGAGGACTGTACAGAGTGAAGACAGAGTCAAAGTGAGGGTCCCGTAAATGTTGACAGGACCTGGTGGGTATTTGCAGGACTGCTGTAAATGGGTTCTGCTCTTCCCTACCAGGTAGGTCCCACAGGGCAATGATGAGTGATTGCTCATTCTCAGGATCTTTCCTGTGGGGTCCCCCAGGACTGCATCTTGTCTTCCTTCCTGTTCAATGTATATACGAAGTCACCAGGTGAGATTGTTTAGAGATTTGGAGTGAGGTGCCATTAGTGTGCTGATAATACCTAGCTCTACCTCTCCTCTTCTGACCCTGGCCCCACAGTTTCAATCCTTCCCCAGTACCTGGCTGCAGTTGGAGGCTGGATCCAGGTGAATCAATTGAAACTCAATCCAGACAAGACAGAGAGATGGCGGCGGGCAGACCATGTGACCCAGGGGAGATTGGGACACTTACCATTAATGGGGTTCAACCTCCTCTTGTCAGCAGAGCTTGACTTGCATAGGTGCCAACAATCTGCAACTCTCAGTTGCTATGTCTAGATTAGGGAAATGGCGCTTAGCAAAACACGGCCTGTTGGCTCACAGTTTAAGTAAGGTGATCTGGACCTTGGGTAGACTAGTCAAGCTGTGTCTAAAGGTTGCTCTGCGATGTGGGGACTGCGTGGCCAGGCTGCATGGAAAACCTCAGATAGGAGTCTTGAAAAAGTTGTTTTGTGCAAAGTTAACAGTACTGGGCAGGTGGTATTCAGACACCAAATGAGGCTGAACTTCCCGGCACCTCCGCTCTAAATGAGTTCTGAGTAATGCAAGAGGCAGGTAGGTGACAAAAATGGCCAGCCACCGTGTTTGATAGGAAGTAGAAAATGAAGATGTGGTGTTGGCACTTAAAGAAGCCTGGACATGGAGGAAATGGCATAGGACAAGGGTTTTCAAACTTTTTAAATACCTGTACCCCCAGTGGCTGGACGTGGAGCAGAGGGGAGCGGCCAGACACAACGGGGGATAAGGGGGTGCATGGCCGGACACGGAGCGGCGGCAGCATGGGGTGCTGGAGGGCGACAGCAAATGCTGTGTGCAAGCTTCCCCCCACCCCATGTCCGGCCGGAGGGACACTGCTGCTTTCGCCCCCCGGCCCTGCTCCCAAGTGGCAGCCGCACGGGGTGGTGGGTGGCGGCGCTCCGTCTCTGTCCACCCACGCGTACCACCTAGGGCCTTCCCAGGTACCCCCAGTTGACAACCCCTGGCATAGAGGCTAGATATTTAAGGGACTGCCTTCTCCCTTATCCCCACTGCAGTCCCAAACCGACCTCCTGCATGTACCATCAATCAGTACGGCAAATCCTTTTAGTAAAAATGTGTGGAGGTTGTTTGAGGCCAGCGGTGTTCAACTTGTTTCCCCAGCGGGCCAGGTAGGCAGTGCCTGGTCCGACCGTGGGCCACATGGTAGGTCCAGTCCAGCACCCACGGTTGGCGCAGCAGGCTCCATCTGGCCAAGCAAGAGCAGTGCTGGGCAGCTTGGTCCCAGCCCCGCACTGCACTGAGGGAAGGGCCTTCACTCGGCCCTGTGGGTGGGGAGAAGGGACATAACCTGGCCCCTCAGCCTCCCTGTCCAGGGAAAAGGGACCATGGCCCAGGTCGGCGGGGTGGGGGGAAGGGGCCATGGCACAGTCTCACAAAGGGAAGGGGAGAAGGTGCGGCACAGCCCTAACCCGGCCCCATGGACCCCCTAAGGGAAAGGGGACAGCGGCTGTGGCCTATGAGGGAAAAGGAAGTGTTGCCTAGCCCCAGCCCAGTGCCAGAGGAAAAAGGCTGTGCATCTGGTCATGTTGGGGAAAGGGGGTGTCTTGCAGCCTTATGGGGGGGTGGGAGCGAGTCACAGCCAGACAAGGTTATAATTTTAGTAAAGGGTGTAATGCTTGAGGTGCTACTGAGTGAAACATGCTTGGATATGTTTAATAAAGGAATAAATTGAGCTGGCCGGGGTGGGGGGGGGAAAGACATAAGTACAGCCCTTGTGGCATTTGCCTCCCGGAACATATCAAAACACTGCAGCCTCCTTTAGTGCCAGCCCAGCGGGGCTAGAGGAGCCTGCAGCAACCTACAGGTCTGCTTCCCTCTCCCTGCACAAGGAGGGGAGGCAGAGGGGTAAGCAGGAGTGGAAGATGGGGTGATGGGACTGCCAGGATCCTGATTTTCCAGCCCCAAATCTCCCAAATCTCTTATTTTCCCCTGGGTCTGACACCATGAGGAGCAGTGGGGAGGGCTGTGCAAGTCAGCAGAGGTGTGGCAGGGAGGCACGGGGTATGTGGGAGTAAGCCGCCACTTAGCTATGTCCCTTGTCCCCTTGCACATGTAACAGAAAGTGAAATGCTCCAAAACAGAGCCTTGTGTGTACGCTTGGCCCTTTGCAGTGTTGCAAAGGTTGTTTGTAACGTTTCAGTTTTTCCTTCTGTCCGCACCATAACTCAGCTCTGGGAGGGTGAACAGGATTTTTCCCCCAGGTGAGCAGGCTGTCAACACACTCACTACCTAAGTGAAGGTACAAAGGTCCTTTCTCTAAAACATTCCTTATTTATACAGCTCCATCAAGTCCCCTCTTTAACTGTCTCTTATTGTTTTCACACCTTCCTAAAATAGCGCAGCGTGCTCTTTATGCTTTTGCCCCCCTTGAGCACAGAGTAGGCATCTGAGCTGTGTGCAGTACTATCTAGGTCCTTATCTGGAGTTAATTTACAGTTAATTTTAAGACCCATCTGTGAATATTAATAGTCTAAATTGTGCTATTAAATATGCATTGCATTGGCAAATGGAATTCAGTGCAACCTGTCACCCAATGGTGCTGATATATAGCATCATCCCAAAGTCGTACGTAATCTGCTGCAAGGCTGATTAATTTAAAGAAGGGTGTCTGAAAGGGGGGAGGTGGATTAGCTTGATAGATGTTGCATCTAATGTAGTGCACCAACTAGGCAGAAGCCAGAATCTTAGCAGGGCCTCCTAAATGTAGGCCAGTTTCTGCATACCCCATCTCTAGAAATGAGCTTGTATCCAAAAAGTAAGGGATTGATTGCTTCCCCAGTGCTGATTTGTCTCTGGCTTGACCCTACAGCGAGGTCCCAGCTCTGTGCTTTGCAATAACTCAGCCTATTGCCATGTACATGACTGGCATTGCCACAAATTTAGCTGGTGACTTCACTGGGCGATCAGACAGCAGAGGGAGATGGGCAGTGAAGGAGAATGGCCTTGATTAACTACAAATCACTAGAGCAATTAGAGAACATGAGTAGACTGTGAAGGGTGCAGGGAGCCAGGTTTCAGTCTGATAGATCTGCTAGTTTCTATTCCTGATTCAAAAGGCATATTTTCAATGCCTGTCCTCTTTTTTTTTGTCATTACTCTACTTATGGGAAGTCTGGCTAACGATATCTTTTGAAATATTGAAGGCACGTAAAACATGTGTGATTCATTTAGCCTAGTAGGTCACAGACCTGGCAGCTATGACTTGAGTTGGATGAGCTTCAGTGACTCATGCTAAAGAAAGCAGATACATCATTCTCAAAGGGTCTGATCTAATGTCCACTGAAGTCAGAAGAAATCTTTCTGTTGAGTCCAGGGGGGAAAAGGGGTTAAATAATAGGGAGCAGGAAGTTCCCCTCTGCTCTGAGCCTTGTTGAAGTAGCGCTTTCTCACACCTCCACCTATTCATAGACTGATTTGTTGGGAGACAACTCTCTGTCCTGTTCCACCAGATCATGCCGTTATTGACTGGTGGACATACTCCAACCATATCCCCCACCATCTAATGCTGACCACAAAACAGATGCCATCTTTTTTAATACTGAATATTGTCCATTTCTGGCTCAGGTTGTGGCATTTGTTTTTTGGATACATCTGATATCTGCCCAAAGTCAGTAGGGTACGGAGGGGAAAAGCTTAAAAAAAAAAGGAATAGTACCATTTCAGATCATATTTCAGATCATAGCAATGAAATGACTGCTGAGGTTGAGAGCCATTGCCAAGAGCATGTTTTATGAAATGCCTAACCAGACCTAAGCAGGATCCACATACTATAAAATAAACCCATGGAGAAGGGGTGGTATTCTCAGGAAAGTAGCAAAATATGGCCAGTAGCAAACCACTATAAAAACTGTTTGCAGAAAGAGGTGCATGCCTGCATTTCTCACATGGGGATGTTATCACTTTTTTCATGAATATTAATCATACTCTATAGCACCTTTCACCCAAGGATCTCAAAGCAGTTGACACACATTAATTAACCCAAGGCTAAGAATACCCGGGTGAGGTAGGTAAGCATTGCATCTCTTTAACACACAGGCAAATTACAGTACAAGCAGGTTAAATGGCTCGTCTAGGGTCATGTAGCGAATCAGGGAAAGAACTGCAGAGTGGAACGTGGAGTCCTGACTCCTGCTTCCCTCCTCGATATGCTCGCTCTAGATAATCAGCGATTTGACACTGAGACAGCCCATCCAGGCAGTTAGGAAAGGCATGACAATATAAGGGCAGAAAGGGAATCTCTTGAACAAAATGGTGCTACAGCTGGTGATGATGCTTGTTCCCTATTATCTTAGCATGCAGCACTCAGAACCTGCATGGTCAAACCAAAGGCCCATGCTCAGCCCATCCACTTAAGTAGCAGTAGTGTCCCTGAATGTTTCCAGCTCTGCAATGATTGAGGTTGCTGTAGCCAAGGATCCCTTATCGCTGTTAACACTTGTTTAAGTGGTCTGATTAGCAATGAGAATCCTCTTAAAAGTAGTGTATGTTGGTTGTGAGAGTGGGCAAAGATTTTTTTTCATAGTAAACAGCAGTAAAATGCATTAGTTCAGGTTCCTCAGCAATTTTTGTTCTTGGCTGCCATTTCCTGCAACCAGACATGGCTTCCCGTCTCTGCATTAACAAAAACATTATGTTTAGTAACTGATACTTAGCCTAAAGGGATTTAATTTTCAGATGTTAAATTATAAACATTAATTTGGATTAAGTGAGAACCTGTGACATACAGGTAATTATAATTGCACACATTTTACAGCTGGGTAAACTGAGGCTAAGAGAAGAATAGTGGCTTGTTTGTTCACACAGGTATCCGTGACACATCAGAGACAGAATCCACTAGTCCTATCTCCCTGGTCCATGCGCTAATACTAGATGTCACTTCCAGGCAATATCTGTAGGAAAGGCCTAATATTTTATACTAAAAATTGAATTCCTCCCCACTGAACCTGGCAGCTCATATACCCACTGTGCTTTTATAGGATAAGATTACTACAGACCAAAGCATACCAGTAATGTAGTTATAGTTCACAAGGACATTGCTTTGGAAAATGACACAGATCCATTGTCTATGATGTACCAGCATGAACAATATCAACGTAGACCAAGTGTGGTCTAGCTGAGTCTGAAATCTTTGGTCAAATCTTAGGTATGAAGTCACCGTGACTATGGTCCTAGTTTCTGTTACAGTAAAGAAGTCTGAGTCTGACAATTATGTTTTAGGGGAAAAGTGGATCATTATTATGACTGTGCAAGGAGTGCTTCAGTCCATGGACCCACCAGGCAGCAGACTGAATTCCCCATGCTACAGCATGAAAAAGGATGACACCTCTTCCAGTCCGGTGTGCTGCCCCCAGAGGCATTCTCACCAAATCCCCAGTGGTTTGCACTGCTGTGTAGCTCCCTAGGTGCAGTCTAGGGCAGGAGTTCCCAAACTCTCACAGATTGCGCGCCACCAATTTAAAATGATACAACCTTAAATACCAGCAGCAGATTTTTCAGTTCAACCTTAAGTACCACCAGCAAATTTTTGTCATCTAAAGTAATTATAATCTGTTAATGCGTACCACTGACAGGTTGTCTATGTACCACTGGTGAGACTGAGAACCACTGGCCTCGTACATAAATTCACAGTCCAGCTAATAAGCCCCCTAAAAGTGCTGTGGTGGTTTACAAAGAAATTAAAATACTGCTGACTTGGGTGAAATTGCTGACACCCTGTATATTGTTGTCGGTGTTGAAACTGCATTTGTTCTGATTTTTTTTCTTATTCTGTTTCGACATGGATTAATGCAGAGACAGGCAATTATTTGGACCTGCGGGCCGCATAGGCAATTCTGGGGAACTGTTGCAGGCTGATCAGGACCCTCCCCCCCCCCCACAGTCTGGAGCCTTGTGCACCCTGCAGCTCCTCCCCACCACTGCCACCAGGACCCAGCAACAGCTGAGCACACAGCCCCCCCCACATCTGTTCCAGACTTGCCTCAGCTGGAGCAGACCAGGTCCAGACCAGCTGGGACCCATATGCACAGCCCCGACCTGCACCCACCCCATGTCGGCTCTGTACCTCCTGCCTGTGATGAGCAGCAGCAGCAGTGGCAGCAGCTGGGCAGAAGCTGCTGCTGGGCACAGGGGAAAAGCATCTGCCTCCCCCTTGCCGCTACTGGGCTCTTCTTGCTGTGGCCACCCAGAGTCCACGCTCCGGCTGTCCTGCGGCTCCTCTCCACTGCTACCGCTGCCCTGCTGGGCAGCCCGGAGGTGGCATTGGTGGTGGTGGTGGTGACATTAGCAGAGAGGAGCTGCAGGGTGGCCTGCATTGGCGACGCGTAGGGGGTGCACGTGGGTGCATGTGCACCCCCTGAGATTGGCTCTGCACCCCCTGGAAACGCCATCCGCGAAACTGGAAGTGCTGGTGGAAGTGCACTTCTGGTTTCACCACTGGCTGGGCAATTGGCTGCTGGGGAACACCCATTGGCGACCTAGTACCCCCCCAGACTCGGGAGGCACTAGTCACCCGTGGCAGCCCAGGTGCGACCACAACAAGAAGGGCCCAGCAGCAGTGAGGGGGAGGTGGCTGCTTTTCCTCTGTGATGAACAGCAGCTTCTGCCCGACCACTACCGGGTGGCGTGGGCATGGGTCCTGGCTGGTCCGGATCAGGTCTGCTCCAGTAGGAGTGAATCTGGAGGGGGTGTGAGGCCAGGGCTGTGCGTGCGGGTCCATGCCAGTAACATGGGGCTGGGGTCAGCAGCACTGGCAGCCGGAAGGAGCCATCGCTGCCTGGGCTGCCCAGAAATACAGTCCAGCCATGGAGCCACCCCAGCCCTGCTGTGCACCTGGGGGCAGCGGGACACGTGGCGGGATGCATCATGGGCATCACAGCATCTGGGCCATGCAGGACCAAGCGACCTGCCACGAGCTGGACAAAGTTCCTCCATGGGCCAGATCCCGCCTACGGGCTGTGTTTTGCCCAGCCCTGGGCCAAATGCCGCAACTTTGAAAGAGACTTTTTAAAAAAACAGTATAAATGTAAATACAAGTCTAAAAGTGTCCAAAAGAATGTGATGAGGTGACCTTTTGAGAGTTGCCTTTTAGCATTAATAACAGCTGAGGACATTGGAGGCAAGAAGAAGTCACCGTCAGAACAATACTGAATATTTTTCAAACCCTGGGCAGCTTTTGGAGCATCAAATTAATTCTCTAAATGGTGGTCATTTTATATCTAATCAAATGTTAATCACTGAAGAGGAATAGAGGTGACCTTCTTTGAAACTGATGCTCCAGTGTTGGTTGCTTTTCCTGGTATCAGCTTTAAACCATCAAAATCAATGGAATTATATCAAGGCCCCAAAATCATTGGAGGTTATGTTGCCTGAAGACCAAGGCAGGGCATCAGGAATGATTCAGTTTGGATCATTATCACTCTCTCACTCGTTGACTTTCACTAAATCACATAACAACTCTGTTCTTTGCTTTACACATTTAAAATGAGTATAAAATACCATACATATTTCTACCTGTCAGACTGAAATCAGAGCAATTGCAATAGAAAAGCCCTAGTGATCAGAATACCTCTAAAGTGATTTTATTCTCTGAAGATTTGTGTCTCTGAATGTGCATTTTGGTTTGAATTTCATAAAACAGCTCATAGAATAAGTTTGTGACATTGAAGCAGGGTTGAATTGGATAATTTTTTTTCTTTATAAACCTGATTATTTAAACAAGCCATTCTTGCCATTGCAACGTGATGGTTCATATGGCCAGAATAGTACAGAGGAAGGTATATATTGAATTCTGTATTCTGCATCTGTTGTTATGACCTGTTTGTTCATACAGGAGACAAAAGTGTGCTAGACCCTGTATAGCCAGTCCAAACAGCTCTGAAGAACAAGGCAACAACCAGTTACAGACACAAACAATGAAGCTGGACAGGGATAAACGAAATCTCAGGGTTTGGTAAAGTAAAAACACTCACCCATATAAAGCTACATTGGACTGGCAGAATTTTGTGCATGCTTTAGGTTGGAGGGAAATCCATCTATTTGTGGGGGGGGCGTTAATTTTTAAGCTCATCATTTTGCATATAGTATAGTTTGCTCCGTCAAAAGAAAGATCAAATCCTGCTGTATCATCTCTTCACCATACCAACCTCTGCAAACATTTCAACTTGGCTTCTAAAGTCTTACTGCTCAAACGTTGCCCTGCCTCTTCCCAGGATGATATGGCATTGTGAAGGCTTTCTAAGCAACCTGTCCTAGTCCCAATAGTGTATTAGAAAAACAATGGCATTTCATCATTAGACAATGAGAGTCATTTCTTTGAGGCCATGATATGCCCTTGGCCATTGCCTCTCAAAGGCTGAGAAGCTCACGATGTATTCTCTGTTGGCAACAGTGGTAACCTTGCAAGCACTTATGGAAGGTGTTGAATTTCTATATTCCATTGCATGGCTATTATTTATTAATGCCTTAGCCCTCGATTGATGATGTATCATCGGATTTAACCTGAAATCAGATATGCGGACACGCAGTGCATCCCTCTTGCTCCTGAGTGTCAATAAAATACCGTAACCTGAAGATGAAAATGGGTTCATGTTACCTGCCCTGAATTCCAGTCCACCAGGATTTTTGGAATATGGATTTCTCCACAAGGATCTGAACGACTGTGACCCACATGAGAGCTGTAGGTAATGGCAGAGGGATCTTTACAGATGTTTCATATTGAAGTCCTACCTGGGCCTGGTTTAAAAGTGAAGAATAAATAGAATGTCCTTTTAAAGGAGTTCAGGAAACACTTAGTTTGATGCTTTTTAAGTGTTTATGTCAGGTTTGCTAACTAACATGAGGAAAGAGCCATCAACAGGACCCTTTTATTTTTGCCAGTGTTGAGTTTCAAAAAAGACAAATTCTGCACCTCTGAATAATACTCCTGTTGCATAGCGGCAGTGAGGTCGGCAGAAGCAGCAAGATGAAAACAAAATGATGGGTAATTCCCGGGGAAACTTCTAACCAGTTTAGCCTTGGCAAACCTGAAAGGCAAAACTACTAAATAATATTTTGCCTGTTTCCCAAGAGTGCATTTTTATTTGGTTTCTTAAATCTGACTACTTGCCGATGTATTAAAATCCCTGTTAGGCCTGCAGCTTAAAGATAACATAAAGTGAATCCTAAATACAGGTTTCCTGCCTGAGATGGTATTAAGAGCTGTCATCATTTTCTTGGTTATGACTGTGACTAGTATGTAATGTTTTATACACAGCAGCCTCCAGACAAAGCCCTCAACTAAAAGGATTTAAAGCTGACTGATAAACTGAAGTTAGGAGACTGGTCAGAGAAATAAACCCCAAGTGGCAAGATACCTCAGGGAAATAGCCTTCCTTAGGAGGAATGAAGGCAGACATCTGCTGGGGTTAAATGCCCCTGCCAGTACATCTAAGAGGTCTGGCCTGATGCTGGATCATACTGGAGCATAAAACTTGGACGTCCATCCGCTCACAATATCACCCTGCCTTTCTCCCTTCAATGGGTAGAGTTTGGTCAACCATGGTTGAGGGTCCATGTGTGTGGATGGCCCTTAACAGGAATTATTTGCAACATGAGTTCTAGGTACTGGAGAGAGCGTGGGCTTTCCTTATGTTGAGAGCATCTGTGATGCCTTCACATTTATAATCACGTGGGTACTTTGGACCCATGCTGGACTTAGCTTTGGACCCATGCTGTTGAATGGGAGCTTTGCCTGAGTAAGGACCATGTGATTGTGCACATGTTTCCAGGCCCCCTGAAAGGTAGGCTTGAGGCAATAAGGATGTTTGGGGAGGCAGAAAAGACCCAATCTCATTGGATGCTGTCTAGATATCAGAGCAACACTTAGAAGGTATGGTAATAAGAAAGGGTTGGTTAGTTAAACCATGCAACCCTCCCATGAGAAATGAATGTAGTAAGTCACAGCGCAATTACAACAGAGATTTTTCAACCATGTCTGTGGGATTTAGGTGCTTAAATCCTTTTTGTGCCTTTGAAAATCCCAACCTAAAGGACTTTCTTAAGTTCAGGGAGAGGGAGTGAAACTCAGGAATGATGAACTCTGGCTGTAACCCAAGACGCACTATGTCATGTGCCACTAAAATTGATCCTTTTCTTGGTGGCTACTTGAGTCTGGTATTTCATTTGTGGTAAATGTGTTGCTACCAGCTCAGTCTATAAAACCTTCTCAGTTGTTGGCTGTCAGTTAACATTCATTTTTCCCTCAACTCTTCATTTTGCCTGTCATGTATTGGCTGAATTCAGGCATTGAGTTGACAAGCTCGGGACAAGCCAGCAGACATTTTCAGCTGAGTCTCTGTAAACTGACTGGTCATTCTGTAAAGAAGTTGCTTCGTATTGATGGGACTGGCTAAAGGGAATATGAATGGAGTTCTCCCTTAGTATGCTTTGTTGGGGGACTTGCCAAACCATTGCATGTTAAAAAAAAACAAACCAACAACCCCCCCCGCCCCATAAAAATAGTTTGGATTTCTGAAGTGGAGTCTTTTTTTCCCTGTATTCCCAGCCAAATTGGCCAATTACATTCCAAATCAGGCCCAACTACTGGCAAGCATCCTCCACCCCATCTTCAGATAATCCCAAATCCTTTGGCAGGCATCCTACTTGCAGGCCCACGCCCAGAGGGTTGGGGTTTGGATGCCCCCGAGTTTTGCTTGCCCTTAGCCATAAGGCCCCAGGAGCAAGCTCAGGAGAAGTCTCCCATTTCCATAAAGTGGGCATAAAGCCAAGGTTAACCATGCATCACCTGTGCAGGGCTTATCCCATGCCAGCAGAGCCATCTTCCCCGGGTGCGACTAAGAAGCCATTGTGGTGATCGCGGTATTTCCCCTAGGTTAAGCATAGGACTACACTTGATCTGAGCCTTCAGCTAGTCTACATTTACATTTATATTGAAGTCAGAACAGAACTTGGCCATATTCTTGTCGTTTGGCTTGCAGTATACTAGAGCCTTTTCAAAAAGGGGCTAGATAAGCATCTGGCTTGGGTAGTTTAGGACTAGTGAACCCAGCATTTGTGCACAGGGTTGGACTAGCTGACAGCTGAATTCCCTGCTAAGTCCCTATGAGTCTATGAACACATCAGATTGAAAACCCTGTTTTTAGTATTAAACCAATTCCAGTAGAAACCTCCGGTTGGAAATGTTAGAGTTTAGAGCAGTAGGAGCTTTGTTCTTGCCTGCTGCTGTGCATCCTGATTCAGCAAGGCGTTTAAACACCCACTTACGTACTTTTGCTGAAGCAGAACCATGGGGATAAAGGATGGAGCTGTGGTAACGACTCTGCCGTGGACCTTGAGAGATGTGGTTCCCTGCCACGTGCCGGGCAGCCTTAAAACTGTCCTTAGTTGCCCATTAACAATTGAGAAATACAAAGGTGTTAATCGTTCTAGAAAGGAATTTATAAGGCTGTGATGTCACTTTAAAAGCCTGGTTAGTGTCCAATAGACTTTAATAAAAATCCTGAGTTATATGACCCAGGATCTCAAGTTCATTCAATATGAGAATATAGAGACTGTTGCTTTAAGGTGTTTGGGCAAATATTCATGCAGCTTCTAGCGCCTGTATGTCTCTCAGACCAGCATTTAAGTTCTCCTATCCTGTTGTGCTACCACTACTCCTGAAATGACTAGTCCCACTGATTTCTGATGCTGATGTGTCTTCTGATTTGGGGCAAGATACCCTATTTCATAGTTACCCATCTGTACAAAGCAGCATAAGAATATCTACCATATTCATGAGGGTTTCATGAGGCTTTATTAAGAGTCATGTTTTAAGGGGTTTGAAGAGTGCTATAGTTTTTACCTTAGACTTGAGAGCATATAGGAAAATATGGACTCTTCCTGAAATTAGAAAGCCATCCTGAACATACAGTGCTCCTTTGTGGTATCTCTGTTCTACAGGTTGGTCTACCTCTCTTCTTTCAGGAAGAGCAAGGTTGTGGAGTCATTGTAGGTAATACCTTCCACCACTAAATAGGAGTCCCACTGAAGTCAGTGCAGCTTCTTGTGCCGTAGGGCATACAGATTTTGTATAAAGACGCCTGCCATACTGGCTTTAAATAATTCCCATTATCATTCATCAGCAACATGTCCCAAAATATTTTTTCAAAGTGGTAACAATTCCACATTTGGACTTGTATAATAATTTTAGGTCTTATGCCCTCATTGATTCATATCCAGCTGCTCCTGTTTGCAATTTGGATCTAGATACTTCTGTTTAATGTTAGGAAAGTAAAGCTAAAAGGGTTTTCCAGGCCACCAAATCTGTGTTCATAGACAATCATTTATCCAAAGACTCCTACGAGCGGTCCACTGCAGCCCTTTAGAGTCACAAAATACCTTGTGAAATTGCAAGCAGAAACACCTGGGGCAAAGGAAGGGGTTGCCAGTGTTCACTGTGGATGAAGGGAAGAGTTTGTCTTTGGAGTATATTTTTATTCTCAAAGCGGCAGAGTTTAGGATACACCTGTTGTTCTAAAACCAGCCCTGCTTTTGGTGGAAAAATAGACTTCCATTAGGTCTGCTGCCCAGTGCTTTCCTGCAGACCACAGTGGCAACCCCCAACACTTCTCATGTATAGAATTACTTCACTCTAAATTCAACCCTGTTTCAGGGAATCCTCGCTAACCCTTGGCCCAGGTGTGCCACCCCTGGGGCCTGAGGGGGGCCCAGCAGGGAGGCGGCTGTTCTGGTCCCTACTTAGGAAGACGGAGGCAAAGAAATCGTTAAACATGTTAGCTTTGTCGTCTGGTGTGATGACCAAATTTCCCAACGCGTCCTGCAAGGGCCCCACATTACCTGGGACCTTCTTCTTACCCCCTATGTATTTAAAAAAGGACTTCTTATTGTCCTTAATCTGGGAAGCTAGTCCCAGTTCCATCTCTGCCTTGGCCTTCCTAACTACCCCCCTACATC